GCTGCCGTTCGCTGACGCTACTTTGAATAAGGACGGAAAACAACAGAGCGAGTCTATATGGTGCCCGGCTGAAGAAGCTCTTCTTTGCCTTGCGCCACTCCGCTGTCCCCGGATAGCGACGGCAGGTTTACGCTGTTGAGCACGTGACCTCCTCGGAGCCTTAATAATGCGGTGTGCAGTGTGGGACGTTATTGCAAGCTCCCCCACCCCACTCCACCCTCTCCTCCCCATAGCTTTACCGCTCTGGCCTGTTGAGCATTAATACGAGGGAGCTTGAGGTCGCCGGGTGGCTTGGAGGTCCTGAGCGTTGAGACGGCACCGCTGAGATCCTGGGTTCTAATCCGGGTTTCAGCCATCCTGTGATTGAACTGGGATCGCTAAAAAGTGTGTGCGGTGAGTTGGATGGCGGTCGCACATGTGGAATAAATTGAGGGAACGAAAATACGAGACGTGTGAATGTAATCTATGGCGGAGGGTGAACATTGCAGGGAAGCCATGCCAGTCTCCCTGGATGGCCCGAAATCAGATTTGACCCACACGGGCGACAAGAGACACCTGAATTCCCACCCCCGCATCAACACATTGACATCAGTTGGCCGAGCTTCCAGGCCTGTGTGTGCAAGCACGTGGTGATGTCTTGATGAAGTTGCAAGGTCATGGAGCACAGGCAGTTGCCTGGTTCGTGGACTCCCAGTGGGAAAAAAAAAACTGATGATTGGGCCTCCCACATCGATGGACGGCCACTCCCCACAGCGGCTGCAGGCGCGCTGGACATTTGTAAAATGCAACAATAATATCACCAAAAGCACACACATCCATTGGTACAACCGTTGTATTCATTGGAGCTCCCCACCCCTCCTCCCCTCCCCACCCCAACCCCCTGACACGGGAGCCGGTCCTCCTGATGGGGCAGGCCGCCCTGTCGTTGACACGTGATTGGACTTTGTGTTGACGTGACACGGGGGCGATTTGGTGATTGGCCTGCACCCTGATTGACCACTTTGGACGCTTTGATTCGCCACACCTTGTGATTTAAAACAAATAGATTGCATTTAATGTAATGAAACATTGCGACGACACGGCGGGGGTTGAATCTGGACAATTTGGCTCATCACACGTGGACGGTGATTGCGATGTGGGCCACACACAAAATACAATCTAATGAAATCGTGAAGTGGATGCCTGGAATTACACTGTGAAGCGGAGAGAGTAACACGTGCATTAAAGAGCAAATGAGAGTTAGAAACAATCTATTTAGGATGCTGACACGACCCAGCCGATGGGTAGCGCCTTCAACTCTGGCAGACCGCCCTAGTTATTTTTGCGGGTGTATACTGACCACATAATACGTGTGCGCCGTCTTTCTTCACGGTGGAGCTTAAAGATCCGCCGACGCCATTGCGGACGAGTAGACCGCCGTCCTGATCCAAATTTGTAGAGAATAAAAAAATGAATTACTACCGACAAACTACTCAATAGGGATTACACAGCAGCAGCAGCAGCAGCATCACGACAGACTAAGCCTGCGAATCAGAGCGTCTCAATAATAGCTCTGTGCCTATAACAACTATTTTTTTACCTACGTGACTTTTTACCGAAAGAACCAAATACCAAATGCACTCAACTGTAATCTTTTCTTATTTTATTTTTCTCCAAAAAGTATTTTTAATAACAAAACGATATCTGGTACACAACGTAGAGGATATGAAAGGGGGTTGACACCAGCGCAGACAACACATTGCGGATTGCAGTGCAATAGAAACCTTCCTAAACCGCACGTTTCAATAAACTGTTTTAAGAAACTCTACAATCCCCCGGTGTCTTCCGAAGCTTTGATACCCCCGAAGGGAAAAAAACGGAGCAGAGGAGGGGGGGGGGGCTAAATGCCATAATTAATGCTCTTAGGAATGAATGCCCACTGGAGGTGAGGTAGTGAAGTGATTCCATGTTTGGTGGTAACCTTCCTCCGTGCCCAGTGATATTATTCTCACGCAATTTTTTTCTCACGCTAAACATTTGGAAATCTGTCGGAAGGAGACAACTGGAAAACGATGCAGGGGCATGTGTGCCCGTGGACTGCTATTGAAGACAACCATGATCACGATTATGAAATGGGGCAGATGGTAGCAGGCTGGAGTTTTCTTGCAAGATTAAACTTAGCAACGAAATGCAACAGAGCAATGCGCCTAAAGGATACAAATTGTTACTCGAGTGTATATTCCCCGCTGTGGTTCAGATATATAAACATTGGCAAAGAAAACGGAACAACAAAACAACAACAAAAAAGTGTCACAAAGACGCACGGAGAGATGCGTGCTTGGAATTAGCCTGAGCGACAGAGGCGGGAACACGTGGAGTGGAGAGCCAACGCACATCGGAGACATCATCTTGGGCGAGTGATATCCGAATCAGTGTGGCCCTCTCGCCTTCACCGACCCGCACTCACCGGCATGGTGAAGTATGCTCAAAGAACCCTCGTCACCGACGTAACGTGGGTGCAGGCCAGGGAGTATGCCGACCAAGGCATGCAAGTTGGTGAAAGCCTCGCCGTCTATTGGGCCTCAGTACCCGCGTGGTTTTGTTGGCAGGTCAAGCGCCGTTGTCGTCAGCATGCGCTGGCAGTGGTGGTACAACGATCAGCACACTGCCAATGCTACACACCTGGCAAGCTGAATTTGATTCTCGATCATGGCTAACATCAGCGGCTAGTAATGTCTAACCTGGTTCTGGGCCTCCCCTAGACGAGCTCAGCCTTAAATACGTGTTCGGTGTGGCGTGAAGGCCTGTAATCCAAGGCGAGGGTTGGTGGACCACCGCAACAAATGTTGCAAAACTCCCTTTCCGTGAGCGTCGAGGTACCATAACCCTGGTGCGCCAGGAGAAGGCAGTATAGCAAAGTCGTGCACACCGCCTGGACGGGATGTTTGCGTCTCCTCCTCGCCCACGTGGCTTTTCTGCGATTGCTCCCGTTTTGTTTCCCCGCGCGCAGGCGAATAACACGTGAATATATAGAGAGAGGGCCGCAGAACTTGGGCAATCGTGGGCGCCGGTTGCTTTCCGCATGGCTGGTTACTGCTGGCTGGCTACATACGGTGCGAAAGATATTCAACGTCCCGTACATGCACCACCCCCACCCCCGTCGTCTCTGGCTCCTTCTCCGGCCTCTGAGTCGTCCTCTCTCTACGAGAGCGAGCCAATACTTTGCGGTGACGCATTTCTAGTTGACGCTGTTATTATTTTTGTTGTTGTTATTTTTACGGTTGTTGTCGCGTTTTAAAGAATAGACATGGGGGGAGACAAAGGAGTGGCGCTGGACACACCCCCCCCCTCCCCCTCGTTAGTGGCGTTGTGATATCTCAACCTCGGGAACCTCTCCCCCCCTCCCCACACACTTTTCGCCAAGCTGCACCGACCAGAGCGAAAGAAGGCCTTCATCCAGCAGTGGATCGTCGGCAAGTTGCCTGTACATCGCGAGGCGTACCTCGACTGCGAGCGACGCACATCGGATCGTGTCGCGGAACGATTGGGAGTGGTTCTTGCAACGAGGCGGGAGGAGAGAGGGAGGGAGGCTCACACGATCACCCGGATTGCCACTCGCGCCCGTTGCGACTTGTCCCGGAAGACGGCCACAGTAGTGGGTGCTCCGTGTACGCGTGCGTGTACACGTGGGTGAGCACACTCACGTGTACACGTGGGTGGGCACACGTGTACATGTGAGCACACGTGGGTGAGCACACGTGTACAAGTGAGCGAGCACACGTGTACAAGTGAGCGAGCACACGTGGGTGTACACGTGGGTGAGCACACGGCCGTGCAATTGCTGCTTTTTTGCTGCTACAAATGAGTGTGACACAGCCCACGGGTGAATTCACCCAACATTAACCGTGCTCATCCACGACAGGACAGAGAGAGTTCTACACTCGTTACCAACAGAGCCGGCGTTTCGAGTCTGTCTGAAGCGGTCTAGATGAACATTAATTGATCACGCTGATTATGATGATGGTTCGGGTTGATTTGATCAGATAGGGAACTAGTGGTATTGAAGTAGGGCGCTTAGTTAAATTGATTGTGTAACCGAAGATATATTTCGAAACGCTGCATCATTAATCATGCACGCACTCACGTGTGCTACAAAGACAAAGACCCCCCTACCCTCTGGATGGTTGCGCAGGCCGTTGGGGCAAGTGCTCTCATCGCTCGCACTCGCACGTGCACGAAGCGATGATTGCGTGAGCCACGACGTCTCCGCACGGTGCAGGGCGACACGAGGAGGAGGAGGAGGTGGGGGGTACACACACCACATGGGTAACCTTGCATCTCGTTAATATGCCGAGGTGGAAGGCGCGGAGTTACGTTGAGTGACTGCGACAGGCGAGATCCGGTTGCGGGAGCGGAGAAAAATCACGAGGGGCTCCCAGAGCTCGCGGCGCACAGAGCGCGGGGAACGAGAGAGGGGGGGGGGGGCGAGAGGGGGGGGGGCGAGAGGGGAAGTCCGCAACGGGCAGCCGGGCAGAGGCGGCGCAAGGGAGAGCGTTGCGGGTGGGATGATTGGAGGGAGGGCGAGAGCGAGGGGGAGTGAGCGGCGTGAGAGCGCAGCTCGGGGTCGGGCTTGTGGTGAACTCGAGGAGGAGGAGGATGAGGAGTGAGGCAAGGGGGTCGGGGTGAGGTTTCGGTGGGGAGCGATATGAAGGTGCCGAGATGGGGGTGGGTTGAGGGGCAGGGGAGACGTAGAAAGGGAGCGAGGGGGGAGCAAGGGGAGGCTGGGAGCACGAGGCGAGGAGAGAGGGGGGTGAGGAGCAGGAGAAAGGTCTGGGATGGGGAGGTAGAGAGCAGGGAGGGGAGGGGGGAGCAGTGCAGGAGGGGAGAGAGGAGCGGAGGGGAGCGGTGCGGGAGGAGCCAAGCGCTTCTCAGCCTCTCTCACCTCCCGCACGCTTTCCTACTCATTCCCCCACCCCCCACTCTCTCTTAACCCCTCCCTCTTTTCTCTCCCCCCCCCCGCTCCCTTCTTCTGCCACCTCTCCGCTCTCTCTCCCTTCCCTGCTCCCTCCCAGCTCCCCATTCTCCTCTTCCTGTCTCCCACCTCTCTCCCTCTCTTGCCTCCCTCCCTCCCCCTCTCTCCCTCCCTTCCCTCCTCCCCCGCGGTCCCAGTCTCCCCGCGCCTCCGTCGCCCGTTCTCTTTTGCTCTCCGCTCACTCCATCTGCAGCCTCCCCCTGCCTCCATCCTCCGAGCTGCTCCAGGGCTCGTCCGGAGAAGGGGCTGCAAGATGGAGTGAAGCTGCTGCTGCTGCTGCTGCAGGGAGTCTTCATCTTGGCACCAAGGAAAGAGGAGGAGCAGGAGGGTAGGGGCTGGCATGGGCTCTGCGGGTCACTCTGACACCGGTTAATGGGATGGGACTGCAAGATTAAAGGGGAACACATGGGATTTCAAGCGGCACAGCGAAAGCGAGAAAGAGATTTCTCGCGTTATCTTATCTTGCTGACCCAGCCCGCGCTGCACCGCTCTCCACGGTGCCTTGATATGGATGGAGTCCGCTGCAGGAGATCTCAAGCGTGAATCTGTGATGTGTGACACGGCGGTCGTCGGGCGAGTGCAAACTTGAGAATGAGAGAGACCGGCGGGCAGACGGGCAGGCAGGGTGGACAGCGAGGCGCTCAGAGGAAGCAGCAAGCCAGACAACTGATCCTCTCATCAGTCAGACAGCCCACGAGCCGCATCAACTCATCGGCCACCCAGGCACCTATCCGGCTCGCCATCCAGACAGAAATTCAGACCAGCGCAGTCGTCTGATCTGTTCTACATCCAGTTCGCCATCCAATCTGACTAGCTCTAATCCATTCGCAATCCAGCCGTCCAACCAGCAATCCAGTCCCAGCTAGCTGTACATCCACTCGCCATCCAAGCATCTTTACAGCCATCCAATCCAGCTAGCCGTATACATCCACTCGCCGTCGCAGCCGTCCCGACCGGTTTACTATCCACCCAGTCCATTCATCCATCCAGGGATGCATTCACGGCCAGCCATCCTCCCATCTTGTTGAAACGCCACCGAGCGCCCCGAGTTGAAGAAGGCGGCTTTGCGAGCGTGAAGAAGACAGGGGTAAGGGTTGAGAGAGAGGTGGGGTGGGGGGGTTTGGGTAGCGGGGGGGGGCGTGGGTGCTCTGGCGGCGAGGCCAAGGATGAACGCGCGATCGGCCACCTATTCCCTATCAGCGACAGCGAAATCTCTCGCCGGGCTCCGGGCCAGCTTGAGATAATTACCCGCGATCAATAAACCGGCGCGATATCTCAAAAGTGGTTGGCCTGGGAACCCCCCCCCCCCCCCAAAAAAAAAAAAATCAAGAAACATCTAAAAGAGGAAGAAAAAAAAGCGAGGCATATCCGAGCGTCGTATATGCACACGGATTCGTACAGCCGCATACCAACACTCGCGTCAACACGTACACACACAGTTACGTACACCTAGACACACATCACGAGCCGGGGGGGATCGGGCACGGACAGGCAAGAGATACGCGCAAGGCTTCTGCTGCTGCTGCTGCAGCAGCTCGCTTCGCCACGCGGGCGTCTGAACGGGAGAGGTAGGAGGAGGAGGAGAAGGAGGAGAGGGATGAGTGGAGGGGAGAGCGCGCCCACGGGATGAGAGCAGCAGCCGGATCCAGTCGAGCAGAGCGAAGCGCAGCGCTCGGCGAGGAGCACTGAGAGCTCCGCGCGACAACAGCAGTGGAGCACAGGGGGGGCCAAGGCATCCGTAGCACGAGAAAGAACGAGGAGCGCTGAGCGGGGTAAGGGAACGCCACTCTCTGCTTTGTCAGTGCTGGATAGCGAATTAATGCAGCTGCTGCTGGACAGCTGCTGATGCTGCTGCTTGCTTCACAAGTCCAGCGCTAACTCGACAGCAACAACAACAGCAGCAGCAGCAGCGTCACTACCACTGGTAGCGATAACTCTACTGCTGCAGGAGTGAACAAGCGACGGGATGTGGCACACGCCGTAGCGGACTCAAGAGGAGCGAGCGAGCGAGCGTTCGGGATTGCGCTGCGGAGCGGAGGGAGCGATGCTGGTGTCGAGCGGAGCGCAGACGCAGCCGCGCATCTGCATGTGACCACTCAAAGGTACGCGGCGTCTGTGTCTGTGTGTGTGTTTCACCACCTCCCCGCTCTGTGTGGCACAGAGAAGGCAACACACGGTAGCATTGCCTCCGTGTATTCGTAAGGCGTGGGCGCGTGTACACGTGTTCGTGTGTGTCGGGAGCGGTGGTGTAACGGTTAGCGCGCTGCGCTACGAGCCCGGCGACCCGAGTTCGAATTCCGCTCACGGTGAAGACCAGTGACGATTTGCTCAATTGGTCCTGCGCCTCCCCTGGGTCGACTCAGCCTAAAATGAGTACCTGGTGCGGTGTGTAAACATCGCCAATTAGGGAGACAAAGGCGGTCGGGCGTGGTGCTGACCACCCACTCCTTTTTGCGCCGTCTTGGCCTTAATAGCTCGTCGCTAACATAATTTGCCCCAACACTATGTTGAGGTTTACAGAGAGAATCTTTGTATTTTGGGGAGGGGTGGCGCAGTGGTTAGCGCACTTCCCCGACGAAGCAGGCTACCTCGGGTTCGTTCTCGGCCACAGATAACATCGCTTGGCGAGTGGAAACGAAATCGATGATGTGCTGTCCCTAAGTCGACTCAGCCTTAAATAAGTAGCTGGCTCGGTGTGCAGACATCAGGACGGGGAAGACAAAGGCGTGGCGCGTACCACGCCATCTCCTCGTCGTGCGCCGCTCCGGGCTTAAGAGGAGCTCGCTAACAGCAGGTGCCCCACGAGGCTACAATGCTGTTGGGGGTGGGGGGGGGATCGTTGTCTCTGTTACATGCTGCAGGTCACATGTCGCGGGGGTGATGTTTGCTCGAATCACGGTTGCTACGCACGGTGCAACGTACACGTAGCCGATATGTGTAATCATATACCGTAATAAAAATAATGACATTAAAGCTTTCGTGACTGCAGGAATTCATATTCTTTTGGTCTTTCGGTAAAGCCACGTGGATAGAAAAATAATACAAACCATCACGACGTTTCGATCGCAACACAAGCAATCGTCATCGGGTGAAAAACAAAAGTAATGCCATTTATTCTACCCGGAGAGTCCGACTGAGTCTTAAGACTCTTTTCCGGCAGGGTCCTGCCATTGGGCTGTTTGGCCTGTGCCGGTCATCCGCCTTCCCGAGTTTATTTATGCTTATTGAATTGTTATACCTGCGCGTGCCGTTGGTGGTCCAAAAAAGTGTTGAAATTCACGAGCTTTCACTTATCCGTGCTGCACAATAACCTCCGTCCGATACGAAGATTACCGGAGAGCCTCTGTACTTATCGCGATGGTTCAGACGACAGGGCGACGTGTCGATCTGCACGTAGTTCCACTCGCAGCGTGCGTTCTTGGGCAGTGGGAAAGTGGGGGCGGGCGGGCGGGTTAGATCAGTTCTGATATCACTCGCTACCCACGCCCGATGTTCGCCGTGGCCGGGAATCGTTAGGTCAGGGGCTTCGAGGTTCGTAGCGCAGTGTGCGCGATCCACTTGCGCCACCACTCCTATACAGTCTGGATATGTCACTGGGTGGTTGTGGTGTTCTAACGCCGCGCTGTAACGCGAGTGCGCATCGAGACTGAGGTTTGATAACTGAGAAGTGGGGGGGGGGAGGTGTTGTAACCATCCCGTGGTGGGGTCGGGAACCCCGATGTGCGGAATGGGATCTCGCGGTGGGGTTAATGACACCAGTGGCTGGGTTCAATGGACGCTGCTCGCGGTCCTCTCTCTAGGTGCTGCGCTAAGGCACGAAGCTAGATGATTAGACAGGGTGTTGATTGGTCGCAACTTTTGGAAGGTTGTGTCGCGGACGCTGCTGCTGTTAGTCGCATACAATCAGCTCCTTGATGTATACAACAACAACGAGGATGACGTGATGTGTTGTTAATCGCGTCGGTGCTGTTGTTGACACCTGTGCCATCATCGCGTCGTGAGATCGACCCGCGTCCGTTTGGCCCCAAATGCAAGTCGCTCGGCAACACGACGAGGGTGCGGGAGGGAGCCTCTCGAATCGGTTCGAGCAGACGGCTGCCGCTCGCTCGTGAGTCACTCACTCATCGCCTGCTGCTATGTGCGGGGGGGGGGGGGGCGTTGGTGTGGCGCCGATAATTGATATCTGGAGAGATGATGGCGTGCATCGGCAAAGTGAAATGTTCAATTACGGGACCCGCGGTAAATTGGTGTTTGTGTCTCGCTCTCGTGCGGTACGTACCGTCTGGCCCAATTCTCACATCGTAATCACCAAAAGTCGTGCTTTATTTTTTTGTCTCGCCTCGGTGTTTGCAATAATAATGTCGATAAATGGATGCTCTCGAAAATTAATACTTCAATACAGGCAAAAAATAAAAAGCGTCAGCGTTTTCTTAAAATGTTTTACCCGTGTGATAATTATTCACCAAGTCTCTACGATTTCCTCCCCCCCTCCCCCCGCCCCGTAGACATTCGTGGTAAACAGATACACACGCGCGCGCACGCACACAGCAGATATAGTGATCGCGTGGATGTGTTTGGACTTTTCCACAAATTGTGCACGGGAGGCTTTGACCAATTAAACTCGGAGCAGTAAATCAAGCGAGACGTGTCTCCTCCACACTACGATAGCTCCAATCGCGTCTAATTGGCGTGCTGTTTGTTGTTGTTCCTATTATTATTATTAGTGTTGTTATTTGCATCTCCCTTCTGTTCTCGGAGCACCGCTCTACGTGACCTAGAAAATGTCTCGCACCCACGCCGACCCGAGGAGATTTTCACAAAATCCAGTCTTGGGAAATGGCAATGATGGGCACTGCCGCATGCGACTCACTGGCGTTCCGCAGGACACAAAGCGACCTAAATGCCTTCAGGGTGGCCGAGTGACGCGCTTTCTTGGGACTGGCTGGCCAGGTGGACCCACCTGTTTGGGTGTCCCACCTTTGATAAGGGTCAGCCAGGTGACCTATCTTGCTGGGGCTGGCTGGCAAGGTGATCACACCATGTCTATGGTGGCGATGTGTTCTGCTCTCGTTGGGACTGTCCAGGTGACTCACCTTGCTGCAGGAGTCAGCGAGGTGGGACATCTTGCTCGGGGAAAACTTTAATGTGACCCACGTTGTCTGGGAACAGGCGGGCGACTCGCGGTATTGTGACTGGCCACGCGATTTGCCTTGTTGAGACCAAGCAGGCAAAGCGCCGAGCTGGGGCCAGACCTGTGACCTGCCTCGCTGCAGTCACGCACAGCAGCCATGCTGATCTCAGCTGCTCCAGAGACACTTTAATACGATGGATTATATTCCATTGAGCTGCGAGTGTCGACGGAAAGTGCGTAATGATCATCACGCACTTCGCAGCAAGGTGATGATGGAATATGAATAGCCAATATCACGTCCCAGCGTTACAAGCGCTCTGCAGTAATGGATAAACCTGTCATCTCACCTGATTAAGGTGTCCCAAAACAGGGCCCTCGTTTATAATGTCGTTTTGCTTTTAGAGAGCAATGCTGTCCTTTGAAATATGTGCCAACAATGCGCGTGTTTGATTTTGATAATCCATTCAAATGTGAATGTTAAGTGCGTGGATGGATATGATTGTTGTTGTTAATTCTAGACTTGAAGCTTTCGTGACTGCAAGGAATCATATTCTTAGGTGTTTTCGGTAAAGTCACTTGATGCAGCTGATCTGGCTGTGACTGTCCCACCTGATGACGGAGACTTGTGTTGCCTCCGAAACGTCGTGATCTTTATTTTTATTTTATTATTTTTATTAATTTTGATGTTTTACCTACGTGACTTTACCGAAAACACCTAAGAATATTGTTGTTGTTGTTGTTTTGGACGGGTGTATGTCATACGTGAGTCTACCTCTGAGCACTTTCTTAGGTCACTCTAGCAATTGATTACTGCCGTCCAATACAATCAAGCCGCGTCACCATCACACGGCAGTTCTATCGTTACGTACGTTGGAAACAAAATCAAGCCACCTCATGCTAATGGCAATGACAGATCTAACAAAACAGTCAGTGTGTGTGTACACTCTCACGCGTACACCGCAGTTGTGTACACTGAGTGAGTGTACACCACGTGAGTGTACACTACGTGAGTGAGTGGACACTACGGGAGATAGTGTACACTACTGTGGTGTACACGAGTGAGTGTACACACACTAGTTGTGTACACTACGTGAGTGTGTACACTACGGGAGATAGTGTACACTCAGGGAGTGGGTGTACACTCGGTAGTGTGATAATTATTGTGTGATGGTTTGGTGTTCTGTGTGCCTCCGCTATTAAATTGATTGAGTGTACACGGAGCAATACAAGTTCGTGTGACATTTAAGCAACGTTGGGCGCCCTCGCACATTCCGAATATTCGCGACGCATTAGCATCGCATTTTAACAACCAGTGCGGCGTGGTTATACCATTAACACAGCTCGTATTGTGATCAAATATCGCGTTCCATTCCATTAACACCACGTAATGATTTTTTTTTCCAATATAAAATCGCGCACTGCCCTCCAGAGTCGTCAGACGTACAAATTACGTAGGTATAAGATGGATCATAATCCTTTAATCAAAGAAATATAATGCTCCGTTGCATATCCTGACCATTTGTAATTGATGAGCGCGCCAGCGAGCAGTAATACAGCTGTGTGAGCTGCAAACAGCAAGACGGATGGCGGCCGCGGTGGAGGAGGAGGAGGGCTTTCCCTTTGCAAGGACTTTAAAAAAAAGCGTAGAGGTCTTTGGCTCATATCGCTGAAATGTGAGACTCCGAGTAGGGAGGGGGGCGTGCCAGTGCGTGCGTGCGATCATCCTCACGCACCGAAGGGGCACCACTCTGCACACCCCCCCCCACCCCCTGCTCGTGGCACAAGTGAGGTGCGTGGTCCTCCCGAGCCGTGCGCTCAGTGGGATCGTCACTTGGAGTCGTGTTCACGCGAGAGAGCCTTCGGGAGGGCTCCCTGTCGCCGGCTCACCGCGGGGTAAATACGACAATAGTAGCCTCGGACACCAATGTGTGGACAATCACGCCGTGACCCGATGCGATGCCATTATTCGCT